CCCTTTAACCATTAATGCCACCAGCAAATCCATTAACCTTACAATGTGCTTTTACTTTGAGAATGGCCAGATTAAACTTGTGTTAATTATATTTTTTATATTTAATTTTTATAAAAATTTATAAAGGAGGACTTTATTTTTATCATTAATACTACATACATAATTTTAATTAGATGATTAATAAAACGCTTTACTTTTTAGTTTGTACCCTTTCTTCTCCGTTAATTATAATGAGATTAAAATTGTACACCCTTTCTCTTAGCCAAAAACCCATTATTATGTCTCTAAATTTATTTTAAATTCTTAATTAAGTTTTTTAATTTTTTATTAAGTTCTTAAACTCTTACTAAAGTAAATAAGTTCTAAAAACTTGGCAATGCAATCAATTTAATTATTTTGTTTATGGTAAACTTAACATCTATTTGTATTTTATTTATATGGATGAAGTCAATATTTTTCACATAAATAATAATATATCAATATCCTATTTTATACAAACTGAAATATAAAAAGATATTAAGTTTGTTATAAAAAAAAAAAAGAGTTAAATTGTTCAAATTTCTAAATACAAGAGGTTATTTATTTTAATAAAAATTTCAGAATTTAATTAAAAATTTGAAATAAGTTTAGAGACTTAATACAGAGGTTTTGCCTTTACCTTATTCGATCATTTTCATTCCAACTAGCGCTCTGAAATTCTTAATCAGCCTCCTTCAAAATTTCATTTCCCTTCTTTTCTTCAATTCCAATTTCTTCTGTTGATGCCTACTTAATGATTCTGACATGTGTAGAGGCCTAAGTGCTAGTAAGCATGATTCGATTTTAGTTACAACCAATACTGATTTATTAATTAACTAAAATTTTCGGTTTTAAAATCATTAATTAAATTAAGAAAGGCCAGTTTTATCAGTTTCAATTATATTTTTAAGAGTAATTATTTAAATTAGTATTGGTTTTAATTAAAAATTTATTTTTATATTTTTAGTGATTTTTTGAATTCCTTAATTACTATTTTATTAATTTCAATCACCAAAAAACTAAAGCTTGTTCAAATAAATAAATAATTTTATAAAAAGTAACTAGAAAACTTTAAAAAAATTTAAAAATCATTAAAAATTTATATAAAAAGTTTTTATATCAGATTTTTAGGTTATACTCACCCTAATTATTAGTTTTTCATCTTTTAACATGAACAATCAAAATATAAGCTATTTGAACCTGGCTCATAAGGCGAAGTGACATCTATCATTTTTGTAAAGGTTCACCTTTCTCCTTCTTCCTTTCCCTCGGGCAATGATTCAATCTGACCCCATAGTTCAATCCGACTCCATGATAATTGTTCAAAAAAAAAAATCAAAATATAAGTCATTTAGTTTAATATTTAGTTAAACGAACTTAAAATCCAATCATACCCTACTAATCAATTATAATTTTGTTGGTTTTTATTTTTTTTCA